TCCCCGTTTAGGTAGATGAATAAGCACACAGTGGACTGAGCAGTAGGTTTATTGCAGTCGGCATCGTGGCCAGTGAACCTGCAATATGTTCGGTCTATCGCATACCTTTCCTCAATTTTGGACCGATTCAGCTGCGAAACAATCCGATGGGTCTTGGACTATATTTTTGGATTACGTTACAGTTTCCCACGTATTTATAGAATTCTTAACTGAAACTGTGTTAAATTACCGCGAATATACCCGTGCGTCGAAGACAGATAGTTCTTTGAAGCGATGAATTTGCGAGACAAATCATTGAGGGATGTCATCGCTTTATCGGACAAATACCGGGGTAATTGTGCAACAGCACACACGGCTTGTTTTATATCCTGTGTACTGGAGGCCCCCACAAAAAACTGTGATGAACTTTGCAGTGTTGATTCGAAATGCACCAGAACAAGCATTGCATCTTCTGAACCTGCATTATCTTCTACCAAATCTCATCTCGTGGAGTTGGTTCTCCAAAGAAGTAAACGCCATACAGCTACTCAGTCAGAGACTCAAAGTGCCTCAGTTGAACAGATGGTTCGCAGATAAATTCAATCAAAGTCAAACTAGACGGATCCGTGGGTGGAAAACCACAATACGTGCAGGCATCCAGATTCACGTAACCGTGCAGCAAGGTCGAACGGAATTGGTCAGAAGGGAAGGATTTATCAGAGGAAAAAGGAGAGGAGTGAGCCCAGACTTGCTTCCTCCTTGAAAATAAAAAAATATGCACACCAGAAGTGGAGACAAAACGGATTCATGTGTTACTCCTCAAATGTTTGTCACCCAAAACTTGTCTGTCGCAACACAAAACTATGTAGACAGAGCGTTCCGTGACTGCATTAAGAGGATCCGGAAAAACATCCAACATCTTACCCGGTAGGTAAATAAGCACACAGTCAATTAAGTAGTACACTTATTCCAGTAGGCACACATGTGGCCGGTCCCTAGGCGGGTGAACGAGCGGGAGCGGGCAACACGTAGGAAACGGGCGGGTAGGCCGGCTGACAAACGGTCCAGGGGTTACACGACATCCGAATGCTGTCAAACAGGCATTCTAACAGTCAACGAACCAATCAGCGAGGACAGTTCGATATTGACACCTGACTGGTTGGAGCC